GGAACGCCCCCACGGAGGCGTAGACTCTATGCCAGCATAGAGCCGGTCGCCTCTAGAACCCGACCGGCTTCTCCGCCCGGCCAGAAGTTCGCTGCGGGCGACAGTCAAACCAACCCTGTCACCATCCCGTTAGGGAGACTGTCGCCCGCACCCAGGGTGCACCACGGGGAGGTCTTCTGGCACGCACCCCATTTATCTACTACTGCGGCGACGTTTTTGTCAAATAAAGAATTTCGTGATAGGCTGGATATCAGTCAGATAAGCTTGCTTTTGTCCGGCAATAGAAAAATAGGTACCTACATAATTACTATCGTCGGTCGTTAGTGGAGATTTCTTCCCTTTAAAGTTGCAAATCTTATAAATATGTATTTTTAATCGACTTCAAAGAAAAGGAGGAGGTTCTCAATTCGTCGGGATATTTTTTTTAATGTCTGATCACAAGTTTTAAGGATTGCCTTTATAATTGTTCCTGATGCAAACTTCAATGTCTCCAGATATAATTTAAAAATATAAATAGTTATAAGTCGGAAAGAAACTCGAATTATAACTGTTTACTTAAATCAATTTTAAATCACCTGCTTACTTAAATCGTCTGTCGTAACTTTTGTTTTAGCAATGTCATTTCAAATATTTGCATTAATTGATGTTTTAGAAGAATAATTTCATATTTGCATAATATGGAATTGTTGTAACGCTATGTTATGGCATAACATTGTGGAGTAATATTAAGCTATTTAAAACTTTTTATTTTTAACTAGCCCCTACCCGCGGCGTCGCTCCCGTCATTCGACTACCTACCCTACTCTACCTACCGTACTCTACCTACCGTACTCTACCTACCGTACTCTACCTACCGTACTCTACCTACCGTACTCTACCTACCGTACTCTACCTACCCTACTGTACCTACCGTACTCTACTTACCCTACTCTACCTACCGTACTCTACCTACCCTACTCAACCTACCGTACTCTACGTACCCTACTCTACCTACCGTACTCTACCTACCCTACTCTACTTTCCCCACTTTACCTTTCTATCTACCTTACTCTACCTACCCTACTCTACCAACCCTACCTACCCTACTCTACCTACTCTACTCTACCTACCCTACTCTACCTACCCTACTCTACCTACCCTACTCTACCTACCCTACTTTACCTACACTACTCTACCTACCCTACTCTACCTACCCCACTCTACCTACCCCACTCTACCTAACCTACACTACCTACTCTATCCTATCCTATGTCCTTTTCCCAGTTCTTAGCTACCTTCCTACGAATTTTCAGCCAAATCGGTTAAGCCGTTCTTGAGTTATAAATAGTGTATCTAACACAACTTTCTTTTATTTATATTGATTAAAAATAATATGGTATAATTATTGAGTTAACTGTAATACACACATTGATACATTTGCTGGTAGCCAGTCGGTAGGTGCAGTGCCAGTCAATATTTTTTTAAAAAACGTTGCCCCTCACTTGTAGTTTCTGCTGTATCGTGGATACGTTTACAAGCATACAATTTCACATGCGCATAACTCCCAGAATCGGTACAACAATTTATTGTAGTGTAAAAAAACAATCGGTTATAAATTACTCGATGTTTGACAAGTTCAATTCTCGCGGGGCTGAAAGGTGGTAGAAAGAATTCGCTAGTTCAGGTACCTAAAAAAACACGCATGTTCTATAAAAAGTTTAAATAAACATTAAATTATAATTATACGATTCACATATAAAGTATGGTTGAAAAAGAGTAAAATAACCTCAACCCCCGACTTACAATATGTTTAAAATGTGAATTACCTATGTATATGACAAGAGATAACCAAAAATATCAGTCAAGGGACGTCAACCAACCTTAGCAACAAATCTGCAAATTAGTCACGCTACTGTGAGCCTACAAAACTAGTTTACACAATGACAGCCGCGGACGGATCATTAATTATTTAAGATTAACAGTTTAAAAGTTTTGTCCTGTTTCAACAATAAATTAAACAACGTGTCTTTTGTAAATTTAAGAAGTTTTGTTAGGTTCTGATTTATTTAATTGGCAATGTCAAAATTCAGGTCATCGATCATTGAGTGCAAAGAGTACACGACGACAAGGAGACCATGACCAGCAAGATAAGTAAACAAAAGCTACGTAACAGTGAACTTACAATAGCACGGAATCAACTGACTTAAGTAATACCAATTAATTAAGAACACCCTGATCGTGAGAAACGAACACGGCTTTAATTAAAATGTTGATGAGATGTTGTTTAAATAATAATGCATCTAGTACAATTGACTTGTTGTGTAAAGCTTCAATTTTCAACGTCTTGCAGCTCGACTTGTTAAACGCAGCTTGTTAAAGAAACGTGTACTGGAGTTTTATGCCATGTTTACGATTTTCCAAGATGGCCTAGACGGTAGCATGCATACACTTATCATAATTATAAGTGTATGCATACTCTTACTGATATATGCATCATCGTCGTTATCAGACTATATGTGCCCTCTGCTGAGCAAAGGCCTCTTCCTTCAAGGAGAAGGTTTTGAGCATTAATCACCACGCTTGCCCAAGGTGGATTGGCGATTTCAAACTTATAATTAGAAATTAAAGTCCAGGTTTCCTCACGATGTTTTCCATCAACGTTTGTCAGGATGAAACAAGCACACAAGTTAATAATAAACGTAGGTCTCCGGAAATATATTATGAAGGATGGGACGGTTGACATATGTCGGGCATGTCATAGTGGTGGTAGACCGACTAGCGCGTCGCACGACGATAATCGATGTTGCCATTCCTCATGACGAGAACCTCGTGAAAGCTGAGAAAGATAAACAATTGAAATATCTTGACTTAGCTCACGAGGTTGTTGACATGTGGAGTGTGGACTCGGCTATCGTTGTACCGATAGTTGTGTTGGCAAATGGGTTAGTCCCCAAAAGCCTCGACAACCACCTTAAGAGGCTGACGTTAGGCGGATGGATCAAGGGCCTCATACAGAAGGCAGTCCTCCTTGAAACGGCACGTATTGTGAGGAGGTTCCTGTCTCTGGAGCCCTAACTGCCGGTAGCTTGGACCTTGCTCCCGCTGCCGGCTGGCTCCTACTTTTATATTTTTTAATATTATTTTATTTTATTTTATAGTAATATTTAAAAATGTAATTTTAGAGTAATTTTAACGTAGGTCTATTAGTATACCTATATGCAACATATACAAATAAAACAAAACATATTGTATGAATACAATAAATGAATCCTAGAAATACATATATAGCATGTAAATAATACAAATGACGTAATATGTCTACTGTAACTCAGAATTTCAATTAACATTACAGGCAAAGGAATTGACACTACACTTGCTCGATGTGGATTTGCGATTTCGCCTTATAATTAGAAATTGTACGTTCAGATTTCCTAACGATGTTTTCCTTCACCGGTTTTCAGCTGTGTTTAAATAATCTTAGAAAAAAAATAAAGAGAATAATCTGGCAAATAGCTCGTAAATATTGGCTACGAACCCGAAATCTCTTTTATGAGAACCTCCAGGCCCCCACAAAATTGATACCGTGCCAATATATCTTAACAAAAAACATCAATGTACTCTGAAAACATATTTAGAAACGTAATATGTATATTAATTAATGTTATCCAACGAATTAATTCACAAGATCCGTAATAATGCACCAAAAAAACTGCTCCTAGTGTAATTAGTTAACGTTGATGTAACCCATGTAAATTAATTGACACTAAGATCTCTATCTTAACGCAAGAATAATGAAAACTCGACATTTGGCCTTCTTTTTAATTATAGAGCCTAATGAGTGGTAAATATAAATAATTTTAAATTTAGAGAACTAGTCTAAAGCTTACATTTATGCGTAACAAAATAATGACGGGTACGGGAGAGTTATGAAATACTAAATAAAATTACTGTTTACATAATGTTTCAATGTTGCTACTTCACAAAAGTCATGATAAGAAAAATGGGTTGGTGGAGTTGTTTTTATATTTTTATTTATATTTACAACTTTAATCGTTATGGTATCAATCCTTTGGACGATTGGCACAGTAAGGATTGTATTTCATCGACGCTGCTAAATTTATTTTTCTTCTAATTCACTTCATTCTTGAACAAGTAACTGTGGTCGTTAGAAACATTTTGAGTGATGTTTTATGCATGTGTTCACAGACAATGTCTTCTATAATAACATGCTTCAGTTATGCATCAAATTTTTAACTATTCAAATAAAGAGTTTAACTTGAAGATGGCCACTCATTCACATTCTGGTCCCAAAATAAAGAGACGATTTTGAATATATCAACCATCTATCCAGCTGAAGAGTCTGCACCAAGAAATCAATGACAGATGCAATGAACAGCATCGGTCATTGCTAAGCTTGCTAAGGTTTTAGGTTAAATCGTCTACAGGTGATACAATAATATTTCTTCCCCTCTTTATTTCTTTCTAGAAAGAAAGTTCTGATTAGAACAATTGTACACACATTAAAAAATGTAGTCTTATATATGGAAAGTTTCGGAAGTACCTCAGAGGTTTGGCATGTAAATCTATGGCACACATGCCATATTTTTGTTTGGTTCGATGTGAGGATTGGACTCAGGATTCAGAAGGTTTGGACCACATATTTGCAAATGGATCAGATGTAGACTATTTTCAGAGCAAATATTCTGTCAAATATTCCGGTAAGTATAACACGTTACTTTAAGCTAAAACATAAAACTATGATTAATCAAAACTTTTAGCTGTCGTAAGATTCCTGGTTTTACTAACGGATTGAAGTTCGCTTACTTCGAGCATAAGATGCAAAGTGCTCATAGACCACCCAGCCATCAGGTATTTTGCAATAAACCTAATTGTGTTGATGTCTTAAAGTAGCTGCACCCTGTAACATTTACGATAATTTGGACTTAAAATTGCTAAATGATTACAACCATCGTGTTCGTGTTGAGCTTTGTACTATATTACTAGTTGGGTGTTGTTAACTATAACGCGGTTAATAACAGCTGATGGCTTAAAGAGACGTGTGTAACACTCACGTTTGAGCGATGGCTCAACAAAAAAATATCCGCACAGAGCAACCCTGCCGCCTATAAATGGAATATTTGGGTCCCACGCTAACAGTTACAGTTTGAGTACAACGAGTGCAGTCCGATTTAAGAATTGTCGAGGTAAATAAATTTATCTACAATATTAACTTCATTGTTATAGAGTTTTAATTTTAACATTGTGCATAAGTGAAATCCAAAATTAGATTATAATTTTAGTAATAGTCAAGTTTATTGTTTTGTAGTTTGAACTAAAAACCTACGTACTTACCTACAGTAAGTACACAACAGTAAGTTAGTGTCTACAGGATGTAACATCAAATCTATCAGCGAAAACTAAATCGATTAATGATAGTGATTAGATTTTTTGTTAAGCATCTTCGTTTAGACAGTTTTAAAATCAAGCCTTGTTAAAAAAATGCATTTATTTTCCACTAATTTAGGAACAGTTTAGACAGTATACAACAATTCAAGGGTGGACTGGAGCCTAAACTAGGGCAACCCTGTATTTCAGGACTAAATTTGTTCTTCTTTAAACGAATGTTACCTACAGCGTCTTTATGTTTCAGATGTTCCGTATCATTAGCTGTGTAGTGCTGTTCAGCACTTTGATAGCGGGATTTCCATTTCCATTCCCTGCGGCGCCTGTAGTACCACCTACTGCTGTCATCCCTACGCCATTCCCATTTGTCCCAGGATCCACGCCGGTAGTACCAACTACGGTTCCCTTTGCAACACCAGTCAGGCCGGTGATTCCTACTCCCGTCCCCGTCCCACTAGCTCCAGGCGCTAGGCCAGTTTTGCCTGCCATCAATAACCCTTACTACAACTACGCTGGTGGCCCTGCTATTCCTATTCTATCGTATTCAAGTGAACATGGTGTTGATGGAACTTATGCCTTTAGGTTGGTACCATTGGTTTATTTTCAAATTCTCACAGAAATGACAATTCATTTCAAACTGTTGATGTTGACAGCTTTAATCTTGCAGAAGCGCATTAGTGATACGTTCAGATTTTTAGATTGCGGCATAAAAGTAATACGGTTAAGCTGAAAATAAATTTTAAGCTTAATCGTATTATTTATCTTGTTATTATATGAATAGTAATTTATACGCATGTTTCAGTTTTTCTACCGCTGATGGCAAGCAAGCTCAAGAAAGTGGATATTTAAAAGACGCTTTCATCGACAATGCTGGGAACCCACAAGGAACGCAGGTCAAACTTAATTTTACTTTGTGCATTTCAGTATTTTCATTATTTCAGAAATACTTTCCATTTTAGTGCAATAGAGCTAAAGTAATAAGAACAACCAATACGTTTATAAAGCTCTTATTTTTTATGTCATATGTCGGCAAATGAGCATACGGATTACCTGATGGTAAGCAATCGCCGCCCATCAATAAAATTAAAGGAGTCATAAGGGTTTCGGATATTTAAGGGTTGGGAAGGAATGGGGGGAGAAGGAGGGTTTGGGCCTTCGGTAACCTCATTCATACGACGAAACACATGCCGTGTTTTCACTCCGGTCGAGCCGAAGCATTCGTGCCATAGCATCGCACTACCACATTTTGATTTATTTATATTATAATTTGATTACTCGGTAATCGTAGTGTATGTAACGTAGTAGGTATGTGTAGTGTCTACGCAAGGCGGTTAGCAGTGATTGGATGAGAAGAGCAGACAATTAAGCTCAGTAGCGCGCAATTGGGGAGGCCTTTGTCCAGCGGTGGACAAAATCAGGCTGATTGATGATGATGTTGATGATAATTATGTAATTATTTTATTTCGATTTACCAGGTTGTCCAAGGAAGTTATGCTTACATCTCGCCTGAAGGGACTCCCATTCAAGTGACCTACATCGCCGACGAAAACGGTAAATCAAAAAATATATTTTTCTATCTTGATCAATCTATCAATAAAAAAATCATTTTATACATAAAATAATAATTATTATGAGCAATTTATATCTTACCTCAAAATGTCTTCATAATTACATTATGTAAGACAAAATAAAGTCGCTTAAAATGTGTCATACAAAAAGGAAATTTGTACATCGTATGATGCAAATCCCATAAATGGTGTTACATGCAGCCAGGCGCCGTTACGAGTAAATCTATTCAAATTTATTCAGATAATATATAAACGCTGCCATTTAAGTACTGAAAAATGTCATGAATACTATAATTTTATTGAACAATGCAAATCACGGTCGATGGTGCTCGTATTTTGTGTGTCTATGAAATAGATTAAAACTTATAATAAAATCACGACATCGGTAGGTCTTGAAATAATTACCTTATTGTTTTAAATTCCAGGATTCAGACCTTCAGGTGTGCACATTCCTGCTGATGGAAAAACTGCACCCATTCTACCAGTAGATACCGTTAATAAACAAATCTTTGATCCAACATACAACCGCTTCGATCCTTACAGAAACAGGTATAACAACTTTGGACCCTACAATCGCCCTTACGACCCTAGGTATCCCTACGACCCAACGAAGATAAACCCTATTTACAACCCCAATACCTATAATCCTTACCGCCAAAATAAAAGTTATAACCAAGACACTAAAAAGGAATCCGCATAAAGACAATGAATGAAAAATCATGCAAATTCTTTGTATATAGAAACGAAAATGCTTATTTGTAATGGTCTATGAATAAAACTGTGATACATTACATTTTTTATTTTATTTTTTTCCTACATTAAAGTGTTACAAGACAATAATAGATTTATTTGGATAATTTCTCGTTTTCCAATATTAATTGGCAGTTAAAAAAAGAGCAACATGTTTCCGAATTGCAATTTCGGTATTGACATTTAAAACTTTTTTATCTATGAAACATTTCATTTTAATATGGAATCCATATTAAACAAACATGCACATCACGTTTGGTAACCAATCAGCGCCACCATCAGGGCAACACCAATGGAGCAACAAAAGAGTTGCCGGCGTATTAAAAAGGAACTTTAAGTTAAGGTTCTTTAATATCAAGGGAAGGTATAAAACTTGTGTTTTCCTTATACATTTTAAAACCCTACTCCAAAGACTGCGCATCTTCGGCGGCTTTTAAAGATGTTTCATGCCGTCCTTTACGCAAGACCCATACCAGTATGCCGCACTTCATATTAATCAATATGGCGCTTAAGATATAGCCGAAAAACTTTAATGCCTGACGTAACATGGTTTATAGGATGTACCATTAATTAATTTCTATATTCTTTATTCAATTAAAGATTATTAAACGTTTAATGATAGTTCAGTTAATATATCTTTAGTAAAATTGGTTCATTTGTCATTTGAAAACGAATTGATTGATTTTTGTCTATATTTTCCAGAATATATTTAAAACGGATTGATTGGTTGGATTTGAATCTGGAATTAAAGTGGCCCAAAACCTAAGCACACAATTTATTAGAACAGATTAACAAGAAAACTGTTAATAACCAAATAGTACGGCATAATTCAATTATATACAGAACCAGGTACCTACTATATATAAATAAAATGCGTACGAGCGACAAGATTTCATCAGAATACCAACACGTACCTTTTCATGTAGGTATGAGTTCATAAGAATTTTTTACTCATGTTTCCAGTCATAACTTTGAAGAAGTATGATCGTTTGCAAGGTGTGTGGTAGAGATCAACTGCGTGACTTATATTTAAGGCGTGATTCGGTGAACTTCGTGATTAAAAAAAAACTTGTAGAGAATCATCATAAACTGAATTCTGTCAGCGGATTCGTCTACTTACACCTTACTGATCTGTGCACCTTAAATAGGCTACATGTTATTTCGGACTATACTGTATATATACATATGTACTGTATTTCTGTGCCAAATTTCACTCAGATCCGTTTATAAGATATAACATGAAAGAGTAAAAAACATCTTTCTATCCATCCATATTTACAAACTTTTGTATTAAGGATATTACGAATATAGCGTATATCTTTACATTTTACTTCTTGATGTCTGAATATACAATACTAGGTTCGCCCTGCGTTTAATCCCGAACTTGTAGCCTATGTTCACCTTCGATAGTGTAGTTCGCCAATAATGAAATTATGTTCAAAAATTTAATTCAGGTATTTATTGTTAAAATGACATGAAACCGTTTAATGTGGTCTAGAATTTCTGACTTAATTTTCACCCTTAGTCCTAACTACCGTTTATACTTTATATTATTTAAATATATACGATTATATATATAAATACAATTTCAGTAGTCTCAAGGTCATGAGATCATCAACCTTCGTTACTGTGAGTTAAAGTTGAAAATGCAATACGAAAGTTTGATTAGTTGAGAGTTTGTATCATAATGGTTATCCTCAATATGACTAAGGAATAGTAATTCCTCGAATCCGAAATGTACTTGACAAGTTTTTTTTTCTTAGAACACTATACATATTATGTCACAAGAGTAAGAAGCGACTGGTTTCTGAGATCCGCCTTCACTGATGTGCCTAACCGTTAAGTTTAAGGTTTTAACCTAACTGCAATAATTTACGGCATTATGTCACAATTTTTAAATTGTTTTACAATGGCTTTGAGGTTTAGGAAGACAATCATAAAGTAAGTAGTATTTATATCTTCCATGAAAAAACTTTTAACTATACTTTACTTTCGTTTATAACACAGAGTAAAAGAGAAAAAAATCTAAGTATATTGGAAAGATAGGTTTTGTAGAGAAAGACAGAAATATGCTTTCGCAGTAAAAATAAAACTGATCAGTTTGGCACAGCGTATTATTTATATTGCATTACTCATTCGGATGATTGAATAAAGATTTAAATACTCATTGTTGTTTTTTTTTAATTATGATGTGTATAGTACGTATTAATACGGATATTATTTAAGTAGGTAAATATAGAATCAATGAAGTTCGTCCAGGGGCTGTGATAGATCTGGCATGACTTGTACGTGACCAAAATATCCTTAATTAAAAAAGATTTAGATTATAAACACAATGGTTTTACAAACAGTAGGTATAACATAAGAGGAATTCAACCATTAAACTCTCAATGCGAGGCTTTAAACAGATCTATAGTTAACTAAAGCGGTTCATTTAAACATTAAAATTCCAATCACGTACTAATTAGCAGGCTCATTATTCCTCAACGTGCAACATTACAAAAAATATACCAATAAAATTAAAAAGAATGCATGTATTAAAATTTTACGAAAAAGCAATAATTTCCAATTTCATCTTGGGTTTTATTGTGCCATTTCAATCTTATTGGTAAGAGAATTAAGTTCTTATTCAATTGTTTCTTGCGATGTTTCGGTACCATAAGGGACGCCAACTGTCCTTCGTTGTACACATGATCATAAAATATATACAGAATCCGTTGCGATGTGTAATTGCGACAAAAGTTTTCGGTATAAATACCGGGGGTGCATCCAAAATGCATCATTGCATTGCTTTTGTAATACACGCATCCTCCTTACTGCACTCTACTTGGTTCAACATGAAGTGTGTTGTAAGTTTCATAGGTTCTCAATTTTAGATTTTTGCATGTATAGTTTTATAGAACCGTTGGTATCTGCACTGGTTCTTATTTTAAAATCTAAAATTCCTTATTTTACTTTAAATAAACAGTGACAAATTGTATTTAATCCTCTTCAATAGAAGTCAATGTTAAAAAAATGATTTTTAATAATAATAATATAATAATCTGTACATGTTATTTCAGATATTCCTAGCTTGTGTGATTGGAGCAGTTTACGCTGACGTCAGCAGTTTCCAGCCCTTCCAACCACAGGGTATATACCAACAGCAACAACAACAGCCACAGCAGTACACCACAGAACCCATCCCCATCATAAGACAAGAACATGTCCAGAACCCTGATGGATCTTACAAATGGAGGTAAATCTACAACTATCACATTGATTTAGTGCAAGTCATGTTTAGCGTCGTATTCAATCTATTAAAGACTTTATGAGATATGCTTATCATAGGCGATTGTTTGTTCATTTGATTCATATCCAATAAAAAACGAACACACACGCATAATAAGGTTCAACTTTAGCACCTAGTTCGTGAATAAGTAATATGTAGATGAAAAAAAATACCCATAAGGGAAAAAAATTCTTTTTGTTACCAAAATATTAATGAAATTTGTACAACAGATATTATAATTTTCACACTAATTTTTTAATCAATCAATCAATTTTTTAATCAATTTTTTAAACGTTGCCCCACACTAGGATTTTCTCCTGTGTCGTGGGTGCGGTTACATACATACAATTTCACATGCACATGACACCCAGACCCGGAACAACAATTTGTGGATCACACAAAGAATTGTTCCGTGCGGGAATCGAACCCGCGACTCGTTGCACGGCAGCCAGTTGCCCAGCCACCGCACCAACCGTGCAGTCATATACTAATAAATAATAAACATATGCAGATATGCCAAATACAGATTGAATTTTGTTCCATTCAAAAAATTATACTTTTCACAACGTGTTTATTAATACTGAACGTTATCTATAAATTTTTAAAATAACTAACGTGTTATCTTGATAACTATATTAAGTTATTTATAACAGAACTTAAAACATAGACTTAAGTTTAAATGTCTTCACTTTTACATTTTCCAAAAACATTTGAAATTAAAGGCTTTATCTTTGTAGAAAATGGCTTTATGATACGCGGCAAATTAATAAATTTTTCTTATTTCCTAGTTACGAAACGGGCAATGGCATATCGGCGGAAGAACAAGGGTACGTGAAGAACCAAGGTATACCGGAGCAAGAAGCTCAGGTTGCCCAGGGGCAGTACCAGTATACAGCGCCTGACGGACAGGTAAATATGATTTATACACTTATATAAGTTACATCAGAGGAATGATGAAACTTAGGGGTTTCTGTGTCGAGTTTTGGCGTGTTAGGTCGTTCATTTCTCCTTAAGACGAGAAAATATCATTGCTGTTTTCGTCATAGTGGTTTTTGCAAGAGTTTTGGATGAGACAAGTTTTTTTTCAATTACTCGTCGAATTGAAATAACTCCCTGTAACATTTGACTCATAGTATAACCAGATTATTCCAAGGTGGCTTTGGTGCCCTCAATTATTGGGCCGAGGTTTGAACTCCACACAGCAGCATTGATGTAGTCAATTAGTTTCTAGTCGCTTTTGATAAACTGGCTGAAAGCTTTGAGTTAAAAACAACTGGAGAGACCAAGTGATGAAGTCAGCAATCTCAGTGTGCTGACAAACCAGTAATTTTTTCCAGAAAAAAGTTTCAGCTTAGTATGAGGGTGTGCACGGATACAGAGATGCACAACCCTGCATACTACACCTTCAAAAAAATAATTAGAAAGTATAAATAAAATAGGCATCTATCATAAATTTCTAGGCTAGTCAACACACGACACACGTGCTACCAAAATTAAGATATTCAAGTTCTAGTTGGAAATTAATAAATTAAAATTTCAACAATGTTTAAATATTTTAAATTGTTATTTTTATCTTAATAGTTTAAACTTCTACTAATAGCGAAAAAAGTATGAAATAACTATGCAATATGCAACATGCAAATTACAAAGACATTTATGAATTTTAATGATAAAAATCGAAAATATGTACATTTATTTAACAATTTATCATAATTTCATACCTAATCATGACGCTTAGTGAAATATTAAAATATATACATTATTTATTTGAGCATAAATCAAAGTATTTCGTTGATGTTACGTAGGTTTTAGTTAATAAAATTTAAATGCATGCGCCTAGGAGAACGGGTAGAGCAACCATTATTTTGATAAGTAACTGAATAGTAAAGTTTTGCAGGCTTACTATAAGTTGCAATCAACTTAATTCAACAACAGGTGGCACCACAGACACGATTGTAGAATTCTGACGGTGACAGACTTCAAACACAAGAACACATTATTTTAAAAGCTAGTGATTAAACTTATGACAAACGTCTAAGTATAATATTTGAACATCGGTAACCGAATCACAATAATCTTTAATTTTAGAATGATGTTGTCATGTTTGACTGAGCCTTCCGCCTATTCACTGATTAATCTACTGACAAATGACTATTCATTATTTTTTATAAAGGTGTTGATACTACTCAAACAGCCTTCAAATTTGTCCTCAATTCCCTTCCAATATGTCACTTGTATAAATAAATAGAACAGTATTCTTGGAATGTATATTTCAGGAAATTATAGGATGTTGTTAATATTTTTATCCTTGCTAACTTCATATGGCTTGGAAACCGGATACAATGTGTTAAAGCAAACATTTTTAAGGTCCACGAACTGCCTAAGTTTAAGTAAACGAAGTCATATATATGTAAAGAATAGACAATCATATTTCAATGACTTTGTGGTATTGTTACCAGATCGAAAATAAATGTTTAAATGGCCGACTGTTTTATTAACATTAATAAAAATGCATCAAAGGAATATTATAGTTTCTAACTTGCCATTATTTGTTGGATATTATAATCATCATCAGCCCATAAGTACCCACTGCTGAGAAGAAACTCCGGGTTTGTACTTGTAATTAGAAATTATACATCTAGGTTTTCTCACGAAGTATTCCCTCATCATATGTCAGTTGTATATAAAAACTTCGGAAGTAAGTACATAATCCTCGGAAAAAGTAACATTGGTGTATACTTGCCAGGTCTTGAATCCGCAGCCTCATTCATGACAAGCGTGCCTTAATTTAATTAATATATAGGACATTTATTATTACTTATAATTTCAATATATCTATTCAATGCGATGACATACTCTGCACTGCACCTTCATACATTGGTAACATACCCAACTTACCAAAGCAAAAATCATAAAATCCTTAGTAGAAATGTCGCCTGTAATCGTAAACAATTCTGTTTTCATCCAAAAATTTACAATATAACGTCATTCTTAATTGCTTCAAGAAACAGACATAAAGCTAAACTTACAACTCAACAGTTAGAAGTCGTTTGTGTGTAAAATTACTTGCTAAATTAAATTTCATTTAAGTCATTGATTATACAAAGTGGATCTCGATACATATCATACTTATTTCGTAATTATATTTTTGTGCGCCCGACTAAAAACTATTAATAATGTACAGATAACTATAAAGTTGAAACTTTGTAGCTTACTTAACCTCGAACATTTCCCATTTGTCTTTTAGGTAATCCAGTTGCAGTACTTAGCTGATGAGAATGGATTCCAGCCGCAAGGCGCTCACATTCCAACATCGCCGCCGATCCCCAGAGAAATCCAGAGTGCCTTGGATTATTTGGCCACTCTACCTCCACCGAATCCAGAAAATAGAGAATACTCAAGGAATTAGACTCAAGATTTAACGGAAAAGGATTTATACAAATGAAAATCAGTCATAGGTTACCCGTTCACTCTAGTTATATGGCTAAAGATAAAAAATACAAAAAAATATGTTACATAATGTGTAATCTGTTGATAGGTAGTTAAGATAATTTTATTTTTTGCAAAGCATAATATATTATGGTTTTATGTTAAGTATCTCGTTTTATTGGAATTTCTATTAAAACAAGTTTTCTTCATTTGATACTTGATGAACAACTTGATTTTATTTTTGTCACAAGTCGTAACTTGAATTTTAATGAAAATTATTATTTAGTTGTATCTGATTAAATATAACTTTTGGTATGTCCACTAGAAAATATGTTTAAAAGACAATTAGACGGTATAAAGATTGCGCAAAATAATTGGTTGCCAGTTAGAGCTCAATTAAAAACCGTTTATTTTGATCTAATAATTTCATTTCGCAAGCTGGAGATTAAATGTTTGTTTGTTCATTCACAAGGTTAGAGTTTATAACAATCTGGTGATTATCTGCTGACGGGGCTGTCAATGGTAATTACACCCTACGCTCGAGTTGGACAGCTCTTTAGTTTTCAATGACTGTGAACTATTAAAGCAACTTTACTGATCATATATTTGTATCATATTTAATATTAATACTTATCAAAGCTACTTTACTATATATACTAATATATATAGTAAAATACTTTCGATAAGTAGATTTCAGTAAAGTGATACCTTGTTCATTAATCAGTGTATTACGCTATGGTCACACAATATGATCACAATACCTACCATTCGTAATATCATGTCCATCACGTGTGTCCGAGTCCTAAGCGGCTGAAGTTCGTTCGGCTCGACCCCTTGCTCAATAACCGGTCTGTTCACTTTCCCTGCAACGTTGTGTCAAGGTCGCTTGAACATCGACATGCCCCATACAGGTACAAAAAACATCGAAGAACACCCAAAATAAGAGAACTATGCATCATGGCTAATTACGAAGGTTATAGTTTGCGTAACTCGAGATGTCTGGCTCGAAATGCAATGTTATCCGGGTGGTTGGTAGACTTGGCAGTATAGATATTTTATTTTTTATTTAAATTAAAAAAGAAAAAGGCGTTCGATTTTCTTGTAATGTTTTACTTTTCACATGCCCTGTCTTCGTGTCACTCAAAGATAGTCAGGCAGATAAAGCTTAAGGAATTAAGCCTAGCTACATTGTTTGGCTATGAATGAAACTTTGAGTAAATGAATTGTTAAAGTTGAACTGTTGAATTTTTGCATATTTTTTTAATAAAATATATTTATTCAGACTTGAATGTACACAAAATCAAAAAAATATTACGAGTATATGGCATGGCTTTACGAGCCAATCTTTAAGTCAAGTAGAGTAATCAGCAAAACATAGTTATGGGATTTATATTTTTAAATTACAGGCAAAGGGGGAATAATTAATATATCTAGGGTTCTCCGTTGTATTTTGGTTACAAACAAAGCCAGAAAGCTGACTAACCTCATCAAGGTTTAAGCCGGCTTACATGTGACAAGGTCCCAGTTCTATTTGACTAGTTGTTCTGACATCTTCTATTTGGAACGATGACATTCATTTTGTATACACTGCGTTTGTTTAAAGATATACTAATTAAATGACCTATATTACCGTGCACATCACGTGTACAAATACAACTTCCACGAAGTCTGATGACACGTCACGCTGTAAAAAAGTTATTGGATTATTCGCAAAAAAATATCATTATATGTACGAACAAATATTAACTGGAGATTTAAATGTCAAATGACTTCATCAAATTATCATAGCCATACATAAGTCACCCGGGGCCACTCCCAACAAATAGATGTTAATGCAGCAATATCAGAAATTGCCTGAAGACATTCTATTCACTCAAATATCTACAATACGATTTACATAAGAGATATAAGAGAAATCTTTTGTTGTCTGAATACCTATTCAAAAAGACTACCATGGATGGATCCACTTGCATAATACTGTAGGCTGTATTGATCCGATACCGACAATTTAAATGATTGAGTGTATATGTGTCAGAGTGACTTAGCAATTGCTATTCATAGTTTCGCTCTTAATTGTAACATAAGGTATGGAATCACCACGTATTGACACACAATATTATGTTTGATACCAACCCTGACAGTTCAAATCATAAATGAAAGCAATTTATATAATGTTTTATGCCCAGGACTCGCTGAAATGCAAATGACACAGAATGAACTCGGAAATTAGCAAATAAAAGAAACAGCGGTTAAGTTATCACAATTTTTTTTTACTATTGCACTCACCGAAACAACTGTCGCTGGTGAAGGTAGACACTCAAATCGGAACGTCAGTGTCAAAAAAGAAAACACTGAAAGTACTTAGCGAAATTAGAATGTAAGATCTAGGTTCGTGTAAATTAATAAAACAAAGACGACTACTTACAATACCCCAAATTATTGATGCGTTTATTTTATCAATTCACAATTTCTGTTCTATTCTAGGAATTGAACTTTAGTCTTCTACTGACACGTTTTTTCTATTTTTATTTGGTAATATAATATTATTCTCTTAACATGCTATTTTACGATTCTATTTTATTAGCGCACCTGAACAAAAGCTATTTTTAATTTATTCTGGGAAAATACATTAATATTGTGTTAATCTATTCATTAAGATAACGTTATAGTTTATGCACAAATTATAGTTTTAGAGCTTAAAGCTAATTATATTAACTTCTAGTTCACAATCTGTATTATTTGATATTAGCGACCCACCCCGGCTTCGCACGGGTACAATGCGAATACTAAATTTCTCCAATATTTAATGGATGTTATTATACATAAAAACCTTTCTATTCAATCAATCTATCAGAAATAATTATAAATCCCTATGCATGATTTAGCGATTAAAGCAGATTTCTCAGAAAGTCTAACTCCGAACTAGAGTAACGCCTCTTGAAAATTCTTTTTTAATTCATCTGTAATATCTGTTAAAAAACAGAAAATATCGTAAAAAACATACAAATATTTTATATAAAGATCATGTGATAAGATATGTTACATCCTATTTACATTGAACAGATGAATATTTTGATTGCCTCGTAGGTTTATTTTTAATGGTGCCTATCATTCGTATCAACGTTTTAATATCTATACTAATATTATAAAGTTGAAGAGTTTGTTTGTTTGTTTGAACGCGCTAATCTCCGAAACTACTGGTTCGAATTGAACAATTCTTTTGTGTTGGATAGTCCAGTTATCGAGGAAGGCTATAGGCTATATAACATCACGCTACGACCAATAGGAGCAAAGATATAGTGGTAAATGTGTAAAAAACTGGAGAAATTATTTCATCTTTGAAGCCTTCCGTTGCGTGCGCCGTGAAAACGGTTCAAGATACACAAAAAATATGTATTAAAGAATAATAGCTCTTTTAATGATCTAAAAAACAGTCCGCGACAGTATATGTCTATCTTTTAAGATTAACTCACAAAAACCGTTTTTATGGTACCTAATTTGGTCGAAATAATTTGTTTAAGTTGTATCAACATAATAATATTAATCTTTATTCAAATAAATATGTTGTTGGTTAAGAGTACTTCATTGTGAATAAAATTGTCTTTACTTAATAATAATAAATAAACTTAATTTCAACAAAAAACTTTAAAGATTACAATCCTAATCCTAATCCTAACTAATATTATAAATGCGAAAGTAACTCTGTCTGTCTGTTACGCTTTCCCGCTTAAACCTCGCAACCGATATTAATGAAATTTGGTACAGACAATCTTTAGACCCTGAGACAGAACATAGGCTACTTTTTTTTCGAAAAACAGGGATAAAGGGTTTGAAATAGGGGTTAAAATTTTGTATGGGATTTCGGAATTTTTAAAGATAAAACCATAAAACTTAATATTTAAGTACTTGATAAGAAAATATGAAATATTTGTTCTAGCATTTTTGAAATTTCGACCAGCTAGGGGGTGAAGTAAGGGTTGAAAGTTAGTATGCAATTTCGTCAAATATCACGTCATAAGAAACAAAAAATCGTGTGTACCTACTAGCATTTTGAAAATTTTATCAGTGTGATATGTAGTGAAATAGGGGATGAATTGAAGATAAGACCCGGAACGGATTCGGAACGGGGTCTACAAAGCCAACCTTTATGTAGGTAAGTATATGAAATCTTAACTATTGAACCTAGGAACATGTAATTTCGAAGTTTTGGGTGTATATAGTTACAAAATAGTTCACTTTCGAAGTATAAATTCCTTTTAATGAACACTCTGCATCGCTGTCGCTGCCGTCGGCGTCGCGCACATTCGCCGAAGTGCGGCGCGGCGCTGTCGTGTGGCGGGGAAGCGCACGAATCTAACTATGTCTACCCGAACGGACAGACGCGTGAGGACAGAGGTCGTTGTCGGGTGCGATAAGAGAAATTTGCGCTTTAAAGAATTACATTTTTCGAACCAGTAAAATTATTTTATTATTTCGTCTAACTTTTTAAGTGTTTTTTATTAATTAGATCCTGTAAATAAATTTTGCACATACTTAATATTTCTTTTAGTTCATAGTTACAACGTTACAAGTAGGTAGGATAGTTTCCGTTACTTTAAATAAATACGATTTGCTTTTATTTCCTTTTTTTATTCAATTAATCTAATAGCATCCTACTTTTTTGCATTGGTTGTAAATAAGTACTTATCCAAGTAGGTGCAGGTAGGGTGAACAAAGCTTTTTTAATATAATAAATCTGAATCTGTACATCTGTTTTGTTCGATTCATTTCATTTTTATTGTTCTCCGATGCCTCGCAAACGAAAGTCCGATTTAGCTAAAAGCTCTAGCAGAGCTCGGGCTGCTAAACTTGATAGATCACTGGAATGAGACTTCTCAACAGACCTAAGCTCGCCAAGCCATTGATGCCGAGCGTCACGCGGCTCAAAGAGCTGCTGAGACTTCTCAACAGACCCAAGCTCGCCAAATCTTAGATGATGAG